CGCGTAAAAAGACAGTATAAGTCATTATAATCCGTAATTATGTCCCCACTGGATGCAACAAACGCCTCGTTTATAATGGGTTTTAATGTTTTTGTCTGACCGAGACACGGCATCACAGTATGGTAAGGGGCGTAACATTTCCGTCACACGCTTGAGGTATTCGGCCAATCACAACGCACTGGATAGCTGGCCAATCAGAGCACACCTCGCTTTTCAGACCGATGAGCTTTGTAAAAATCGACGCGTTTCAGAAAGGCGAGGCATAGAGGAGAAACAATAATGTACAGTATGTGGAAAATAATGTTTTTTGAACCTTAAACCGCATAAACACATTTCATTACACCAAATACACAAAATAATGTTCTTTTTAGCAACATCATATGACCCCTTTAATTGGTCAAAAATGACATTAAAGACATTTATACTGCTACAAAATGTTTCCATTTCAAATAAATGCTGTTTTTTTATTTCTATTCATCAACGAATCATGAAAAAATATAACGATTTCCACAAAAATATTGAGCAGCACAGCTGCTTTCATTACTTCTAATAATAAGAAATTGTAAGCATGATTTCTGAAGGATCATGAAGACTAGACACTGAAGACTAGAGTAATGAAATTCAGAAAATGTGATATTTCACAGTATTACTATTTTACTGTATTTTTTATTCAAATAAATGCAGCCATGGTGAGCATAAGAGACTTCTTCTAAAAATATTTTTAAAAAACAATACCAACACCAAACAGTAGTGTACCATGTTACTCAAATTCATGTACCATGGTATTTATGGTAAACCATGATTTATTCAATAATATGCAAATCTTACCCATGAGGATAGATGGTGTTGAGGTGTGTTGCACTACTGTGGTATGTGGATACCACAGAAAGAGTGTCGTCATGGTAACAGCAGGTACGGTCTAGTGCTCGCAAGTGTAATAATTCATCAGAGCGGGTGAAGGCAGGGTTGTCCAACGAATCCTGAGAACCCGGCCAGGACCTTCCCCAAAAACGAGC